ACTGTAGGTCGCTCCTTACTTCTTATCTAAAACGCATAGTTTTCGACGTCACAGACTAAATTTGCATATTCCCAACTTCGTAAACGTTATAATTTTCCTTTATAATCTCTTCTGTTTCCTTTCATTCAAAAAGGTTGTCGATGATATGGTTATTTCATACCGAACCCACAATATACCTTAATTGTTTTGAGCAGTGAATGTGACTGCATGACGTTACTCCACAGTAGAAAAGAAACGGAACCTAAAACTCTACAGATCGAGAGAAAATGTTTTTTTTCCAACCTAACAGTCGCACTTCAAATACTACTTACTATTTCATTATCAAATGCTAGCTATGAACATTCGTTCAGCAAATTAAAATAAAATTTCACATATTTACAAACAACGATGGAACAAGATCCCCTAAGTATCTAGCATTTTTAATGTGGAAAGAGAAAAATTGAAAAGATCGACTTTGATGAAGTAAATGATAAATTTGCTTCATCCAAGGTAAGAAAAAATGTATACATTAGTAATTAATGTATTCATGTATCATATTATTATTAAAATATAAGTGCCCGACCAAGTCGAGGTGCACGTGATTGAAGCGAGATGAGGGCAAATTAAAAATTTAAGTTTGGTTGGTGGTGTTCTGACAATTTTTAGATTTTGGCAACTCCAAGCACGAACATGCCAGTTGGATATGTCCTTTTGGATGCTAGGCCATACGAAACGTTTCTGTATCAGTTTCCTCGGAGTCTTGATGCCAGGATGTGACAGACGATGTAACTGACTAAAAAAAGCATGGCGAAATCCGGAGGGAACATAAGGTAGAAATTCTTGAATCCTAAACATCACAATAAAGTGATTTTCCAGGTAACAGCTGCATAGGCTGCAAGTTGAGATTGGTGGAAAATTTGCTTTTCAAGAGGGTTCTGAATTCTGGTGTTGTTCATCCGCAAGGGCAGCAAAGTTTATTGGCGAAGGAACGGCTAGTTCTTCAATACAAGACAAGGTGTCTGCAACAATATTCTGCGAACCCTCAATATAACGGATATCTGTTGAAAATTGCCCTCTGAAATCTAGGTGTCTCATTTGACGAGCAGAAGCTTTATCCGAACGCTGTTGAAAATCATAGGTTAAGGGTTTGTGATCTATGAAGATCATGAAAACGCTTCCCTCTAGCATATGTCGAAAATATCTGACAGCTTCATAAATTCCTAATAATTCGCAATCTTAAGTATGTATCTGGTTTGGCTGGTGAGAGTTTTTTAGAAAAATATGAAAGTGGTCTCCATAATTCTTGGTCTTTCTGTTGTAAACTGCTCCTATACCTGTTGTTGATGCGTCAACGTGTAGAGACATGAAGTTATTTTTTGGAAGCAGAAGAGATGAAAAATATGCAACGCCTTCGCCGGGAATTGAACTGCGGACCTCTGGAGTACCGGCCCAGCGTGCAGAGCCCCTGCACCACAAAGGTCCGCTAGAAAAGCGTGAGAAATACCTTACATACTCCCCCTTTTAAAGGGTGACTGGGGTTTTTAGAGGACCCAATCGGCAAATCCTGGGTGTGGAGCATCCTCATCCAACACCCCTTTTAGTTCAGGTGCCGCTGTAGAGACATTAGGATATTTGGAAGCAAGAGAAATTGAAAAATTAGCAACTGCCTTTTCCCGGAACGAACTGCGGACCTCTGGAGTACTGGCCCAGCGTGCAGAACCACTACACCACGCTAGGAAAGCAGGAGAAATACCTTATAAACGTAGAGTGATAATGGTTTAGATGCAGAAGGATACTGCAAATTCGTTGCCAAAATTAAATCCTTTTTGAATTTTTGGAATGCTTCACGAGACTTTGTGGTCCAGATTATAACACGTTTATCGTTTTTCTTGCTTCCAGCCAAAAAAAGGAATTTAGAGGTGCTTGTATGGTTGCTGCATCAGGTAAGAAACATCGATAAAAATTGAGGATAGCAAGAAATCTTCTTAAGTCCTTCACTGTAGATGGTTCGGGCATATAGCGGATATCGCTGACTCTATCTGGAAGGGGTCGAACGCCATCAGCAGAAATTTCATGACCAAGAAAGGATACTCTTGGTTGGCCAAAAACGCAGTTGGAAGTATTAAGACTGACACCGTACCTTTGAAAACGTTCAAAAACTGTTCTCAAATGTGATAGGTGTTCTTGCTCTGAAGAGGAGGCGATTAAGATGTCATCAAAATAAGGTACACAAAAGTCGAGGCCGTTTAACACCTGATTTATAAAGCATTGGAAAATTTGAGCAGTATTGCATAAGCCGAAAGTCATGACATGAAACTCAAATAGTCCAAAAGGAGTAATAACCGCAGTTTTTGGAATATTAGCTGAGTTAACGGGCACTTGGTGATACGCCCGCTGAAGACCAAGGGTTGTAAAAATAACTTTTCCCTCTAAAACTTGCATACACAGTCTTGAATGTGCGGGACTGGGTAACGATCAGGAATTGTAGCTGCATTTAATCGGCGATAATCGCCCACCATTTCGTTTCCGAACTAGATGGAGCGGACTGGCCCGTGAAACTTTGAAGGACGGCAAATTCCCTGTTCCATCACGTATTGAAATTCCCCTTTGGTGGCTTTAAGCTCGTACGGAGGTAAGCGTCTTGGTTTAGCGGCAAATGAAGGTCCGATAGTTTCAATATAATGTAGTACATCCTGCTTAGGTTTGGAAATACCCATAACTGGGCACGTGATTGTAGGGAATTCTCTGAGAAGTTGATGCCATGGGTAGTTACCCGAAATCAGTTTAATGCTCAAATCTTGACTATTGCGAATTACTCCCAGATAAGTTAATTTGGTTGTGTAATCTATCAAACAATGATTCTTAAGATCGACAAGCAAAGAACATTTTGTAAAAAGTCCACGCCAATAATAGGACTGAACATAGTATACTGAATGGCCATTGGAAGTTGCGGTGCAATCCTAAATCAACAGATATCAGGCGCTCACCAAAAGTTTGAATAGGAGTTCCAGTTGCTACATAAAAAGTTGTAACTTGGTAAGGTGCTTTTGTTCGTGAAATTGTGGTGGAACGACAGAAACATCAAAAGACAAGAACTACGAGAAACCTTAAGCCGAATTCTTTTCGATGACAGAGGCGCAAATTCCGGCCCCTGTCATTCATGACTTCGAGCAACGGCCCTTTCGTTTCCTGGTCACGTGGGTGGCACGGCACGGGGTCACACGGGGGTGCCATTGTTTGCCTTGTTTCCAATTTGTGTGGTAAAAAGAAATACCCGGGGAGGCTTTCATAACGTTTCCTTTGGGTTAGAACGTGTATTTCGACTATGATGTGGAGAGGTTGCGGTGAAAAGGTTCAGCTTGGATGGCTACTAACTGAGCAACCTGTTTGGACAAATCATCAATTTGAGCCTCTAACGCCATAATACCTGGACCAGGAGCCTGCACTGCGTGTATTTGCATTGGAATGGCCAGCTCGTGAATTTTATCAGCGATTTTGGGAAGATTTAGTGGCTCGCAACTGGCCGCTAAAATGGTTTGCATGTTAGATGGGAGTCTATTAATCCATAATGTTTTAAGAATGTTATCCGTTAGGTTACCGACAGCTAAGTCTGATATTTTAGACAGCAATTGAGAAGGCCTCAATCACCCAACTGTAAACCGTACAACAGCTGCTTGATTTTAACTGTCTCAGATTCTTCATAAACAGAAATTAATTTTTTTTTTAAGATTTGTATTTGTCTGTCGCTGGTGGATTCAAAATTATTTCACAAGCTGATTGCAGTACCTCTAATTCTAACGCGGCGATCGCTGTATAAATTGAGTTTCGTCGCAGTAATTTAACTCATTTAAACTGTGCATCCACTGAATGAACATGACGATGGATCTCGGCGACAAAGGCGGTGGCTTAGCTGCCACTCGCGCCAATTGTGAAGCGCATCGTTCAACCACTTTAGACAATCAAATATGCACAATAATAATATGTATAGAATATGCACAAAAATAATGTTATGAAAAATAATCATATGTATATAGTGACACAGTTTCTTGGTACTTGAAATCAGAGAAATTGGCGGCTCAAATGCAGCAGACGATACATATATCCGCTGAAATTGACAGAAATATGTTGACTAGCCGGAATGCGGCACAATGCTTAATCACAGGTTAAATGCCTTACTTGCATCTCATCACACTGAGTAACTTACTGCTGCTCAGAATTTTGACATATAAACTCCATATTCGTGCAACATTGAAGGTTGCTATTCCGTAATAAATACGGGTCACCAATTATGGTAGTACAATTTCTTGAGACAGATCGTTAAATAATTATAACAATTGAATAGAATAAATATTATTTTGTTTTTGGTTGCTATGGGTATACCAGACTGGCAGAGTTGAGTTGTAGTAGGAAAGTTGCCACATATGTATTTATCTATAATGATATTAAACTTTTAATTGTTTTACTTTTACTTTTTAAAATTTTACTTTTTAAAAACACTTATATAAATATGTAAAATAAATAACACCTTTTTGACTAATTCTCGATCATCGTATGTCTGGTTTTCCGGCCGACACAGATGCATTTCCAAATTTAAGGCTAGTGTAGTTAGGTAGTGACTATTCTTAATATATTTTTGAGTATTTTATTTATGGCAGATTCAGCATTTTATTATTATTTGCATTGTTTTCTTATTACGAATATATTCTATACATTATACTACTGAAAGTTTTTTTTGGGGGGGGAGGAGGGCGCCAAAAAGGTATTTTGACCCGGGCGCCAGTTATGCTTGCTACGCCACTGCTCATAACTGAATGCTTAGAGTGGCTTCAAACTCACATTGTAAGTGGGCAAATGCTCAATTTGAAAGCAGCTGATCGACCAGACTACTTTTTAACAAAATTTAAAAACATTTTTAACAATAACGCTCATGTCAGGCTCCAGTAATCCATTATACCACACAGAACTTACCAGTCAGGAATGAATTCCAAAAGAAGATTTAGTAAAATAAAAAAACATTTTACCCCATAACTGAATGCTTAGCTGAGTGGCATCAAACTCAAATTGTGTGTGGGACGAATGCTGATGGGCCAGACCACTTTTCTAACAAAATTTAAAAACACTTTTAACAATAAAAAGAAAATAAGTAATAAAAATAAATTTCATTTACTGAATATATATCAAAACATATATAAGCAATAATGACAATAATGCAAAGGAAAAATTCAAATTTATATTTATTTTTAGTCTGAAATGTAACCAGCAAGAAATTTCTATCAGTTATACTTTGTAATTTAAGTGCACGAATAGCTAAGTATCAAATTTTTGCATGATATCTATTACAGTTAATACCAATATATTGAATTAACCATTAAATAGCCTATTTTAACCAAAAACCTGGAAGTTTCAGAATACTTTAGCATCAGCTAGCAAATTAAATTTACAGGCTACACCAACTGCAGAAATCTCTCACACTACCCCAGTCACATGGCCAGGCATACAAGCATACACTGTCAAAGCCCCAACATATTCATTCTATCTTTTTTCCTTAAATAGCAATCATGCACATAAGCTCATTTCACATCTTTATGTCTCTAAAATTATTAGCCCCATTTTTGTGATAAAAACAAACTTAAAATGTATCCCTGGGCTGCATAAAATTGCTCCGGGGGGAGTGAGTTTGAAACTACTATTTGAATAAATCAGCATCTCTTGCAAAATGAAATTGGAAAGTATAAATCAAATGTGCACCAAGCTATATAGTGGCAAGACAGCACAGCGAGAGTCTCAGTCACTAAGTTCTCTCTTTTATGCATACTCTGAAGTACATTCTTACAATAACTTTTTAATATGTAAAGACTGAAGATAAATATTGTGAGACGCAAATATTGTGAGACAAGGTGTAATTTTTTTCAAAAATTCTGTTGCGCGTTCAGATTTGTTCAAGCCTAAATGTAGAGAAAAATTACAGATAGAGCAACAACTCTCTCTGGATTGTAAAACCAGATGGAATTCAATGCTGAAAATGCTTGAAACATTCGTAAAATCGTATGACGTTACAAAGTACTCATTGAGCTTGGATCTGAACATCTTTAACAAATTTAAACCTGGAATTAAAAAAATCGATAGTCTTGGCGTTAAAACCAATTGATGTGGCGCTTAACGCTATGGGTAAAAAACAAGCCACTTTATGAACAGCATATACAGTACAAAGTCTATAATCCGGATGTCCATTATCCGCAATAATCTATAATCAGTACCTCAAAGCCACAAACTTTTTTTTGTATTCTTTACACATGCTATGCATGCGCGTTTAATGTTTACGCATGCATGTTTAGCACAAAAAACGAAGCAACTTAAACAACTTACATTGAAAGAAATGTTTAATAAAGTAAACAAATAAATATTAAGCTTTTTTTTTATAAATTTTGATACCCTTTAAGATCACAATTGCTCTTTATTTCATAAATTACGGTTTCATATTTTTAATTGTATAATTTCTAAATGCCATCTTACCAGATTTAAATTGATGATCTATAATATGAAAAAAACCCTTAATCCGGAATCGCCGAAGTCCCAACGAGTCCGGATTATGGACTTTGTACTGCATTTCTAGCAACTTTATGTGAGAGAAGTTAACTGAACAAGAACCTGACATAAATAGTCGTCTTTCTGAAAATATCGATTTTTAAATCAATAGCAGGATTAACAAAAACATCATATATTTAATGAATTCACCATATAACTTAAATAAAACGCCTCAAAAGCTTCTGTAGAACTAGCAGCTGCTTTAATGAAGCATTTATTTCCGTCACCAGATTCATCACCAAATTCACCAAATGAAAAATCAAGCAACGAAGCAGAAACAACTACAAAGTTGGTGCTTCTCTTGAAGAACAACTTAGAGTTACAACCAGCAAACTACCGGAAGGTGACCACTTTAAAAAATTAAGCCAAGAATTTTCTTTGTCAAAAAGTAATGGTGAATTGACTGTAAATTTAAAGCAGTTACTTGAAGCTCTTTACAGTATAAAACCAACATCGATTGACTCTGAGAGGGCATTTTCCGTGGCCAACAATTTTTGCACCAAAATTAGGTCAAAGCTATCAGATAAATTACTATATACACTGGTGTTTTTAAAATATTTTTCATTAGTATAAATGCATAAATAAAGTAAAGAAAAAGTTTCTTTTAAATTTCTAAAAAAATATTATTTTAATTATAAGTCCATTATAAGTCTTTTGATAATGTAAGTATATCAACTTCAAATACTCGAAAGCCTGAAAAAACAATCGAGCTCGAGGTTAACCGAGCTTCAAATCATCGAGCTTTACCAACCGCTAGACTGGATACTAAACAGACTTGGCAACTGTACTAAAAAATAAAGAAACATATGTAGAATCTGAAAATAAATTTGGTTTTTGAAAATTTTCTATCGTTTGGTTTTTATTTTCAAACAGCACTTACTTAAAAAACATCCCTCATAGTTATAAAAAGAAAAAATATATAACTATTTTAATGAGTTCTGCTTAGAGTTAATTTGATAAGTTTAGCAAGTAATTAACGGAGATTAAAAAAACTCATTTATTGCTTTTAAATCACTTAGTCTTCAAATAGCAGCAGTAGACAAATCTGAGAAAAATCTGAAAAGTCTGAGAAAAAATTTACCTGCATCTTATGCTTTGAAAAAGGGGAACAAATTGATGCATTGAAGATGAAAATATTTTATTTAGGGTGGCGGCAACACATTTTTTTTTAGGGAAATTGGAACAGAGAATCGAGACTATTAAAATTTCCAAGACACTTTGTCTAAATTTTAAAAAAATTTTTAGCGAAAAACTTTCAATTGTCTGTTTCGGCGAAACACGTAATGGGGGTTAGCTTGATTCGACGTTCAAATAAATGAAATTTCCCTTGAAAAGCCTGTTTGGAAGTCGAATTGGGCTAATTTACCATTTTCCGCTTACTTCTTAACTTTTTCTGTTTTTTAATTTTTTAAAATAATGTTTTACATGTCTAATGATTTGATTTTCATGTGTATTAATTTTTTTGAAAACGTGTTGAACCTTTTGGAGCAGCAGCTCTTGGTAACTTTTAGGCGAGCTTACTACAATTTTTATATTTTACTTATTTTGCAGCATATTGTGCAAGATGTTTTCTAGACCAAAATTGGTTTTTTAAAAATTGTTATTACTGCTTTGCTTGATACATATATATATATATTGTGATTTGCTGAGTGCTAATAAATGCTTTTAAATAGACATGATTTCTGAAATTTGAAACATAAATATTGATTTTTTTCCCCTGCCTACAATATCATAAAATAGTAAGAACAAATGTTATCATATAACAGCTCATAATACAGTTAAAAGTCTTTAATCCTGACATCCATAATCCGGAATGATCTATAATCCGGACCTTAAAGCTACACACTTTCTGCGCATGCGCATAATACGTTTACGCATGCGCGTTTAATGTTTAACGGATGGTACAGTCAAAAGTCGTTAATCCGGAGTCATCGGGACTTCGGCGATTCCGGATTATAGATCATCAGTTTAAATCTCGTAAGATGGCATATAGAAATTCTAAAATTAAAAATATGAAACCGTAATTTATGAAATAAAGAACAATTATGATCTAAAGGGTATCAAAATTTACAAAAAAAAAAAAAAGCTTAATATTTATTTGTTTACTTTATTAAACATTTCTTTCAATGTAAGTTGCTTCGTTTTATGTGATAATTGTTTCTCTTTAATTCTATGAACAGACATAATTTCTTGTTCAGTTACAAAGTTCCGCTGCTCAAGTCCCGTTAATTGCTGTGCCGAGAATACCGACTAACTCGTCAATCGAAATTTTTTCGTTTTCACTAACCTCTCTGTCACATTCTTCATGTCTTTATTTATTTTTTGCAGCAATTCCACTTTTTTGTTTGATGAACATCGAAACATACTTTCATTTTGTACGATCCTTTGGGAGCTCCAGAATCGGAAATTCTATTTGACATAATCGAAAGTTCAAGTTTACTTTTATAGTATTGCTCTTACAGTCTGCAAAAAATAATACGCCGGATCCAATTCGAAAATTAAGGAACAACGCAATCATCAACATTAATTGAAATCGATAATTAGATAATTTTCACCATATTCCCCTGAACTTCAACCTACTGAGAATCTTTAGGATGCTCTCAGGCATACTATCTCTGCACATTTACATCCTCCAATCAATATCAGACAGCTGCAGTCTGGAACTGCCTTAATAGAGGAATGGCCATTGCCTCATTCAGAGCACGGACAATAGCTGTACAGCTTGTGTGATGGTCTGAGATGGTCACGTACTTTATTAATGGAAGTTTTTCTCTTTGCTTTTAGCTTTAAATATCAATTCGTTACAACTAAAATATGATGTCCTTATATAATTTATAAATATAAACTATTGTTTTCATTTGTTTTATCAATAATGCCTGTTTTCTTTAATGCATTAACACATTTCCCAGCTTCAGGTGCAATCTGCTTACAATCAAAGCTTTAGTTTTCCATTATTGTTGGTTTTACCACCATGTGCTTAACTCTTGGAAGCCAGTCTACATATACAAAAACCTGCATATGTGTATATATATATGCATTACCATGACAAGGTTATTGCAAACATACAAATGTAACTAATTAAATTATGGAAACTGGAAATATTTGAATTAGTAATACAGTCAAAAATCTTTAATCCGGAATGATCTATAATCCAGATCTCAAAGCTACAAACTTTATAGAGGAATACGTATGCGCATAATACCTTTACGCAAGCGCATATGCGTTTACACATGCGCGTTTAATATATAATGGATGGTATAAGCTAAGCTAAAATTATCTATTTCAGATAATGTTGAAGATTGTGTTGTTCCTTAATCTTCTTATTGGATCCGGCTTATTATTTTTTGCAGACTATTAGAACAATTTTATAAAAGTAAGCTTGAACTTTCGATTATGTCAAATATAATTTCCGATATATATTTACTAATATGTAAAGGATCTACAAACCGAAAGTATGTTTCGATATGCCACTCCTCACTTTCAAATCATAGAGTTTGTTGGTAAAAAATTTGCGTACTTTTCTGTTTCGCCAGCGCAAATCTCGCTCGCCAAGCAGATTTTATTGGTGACAACATACAATATACACATAAAAATTTTTAACAAATGTTAGTTCTAAGAATTTTTTATTCTGAAGGCATAAACATTTTAATATTGTTTAAAATTTTGTAAAAAGCCAATAAATAAAGACAATAAATTTGTAAAAACATTAATTTAAGAATTTACTATGCTTTCATGATTCAACATTCTGATTCGCCGGTTCATATCACTTGCCTCCCAGTAATTTCATCTCACGTAAACTACGTTACAAAAATCTTATTCTCTCAGTAATTATCTACATTGATTTCAAGTTAAATCTTAATTTGGAATACAAGTTTAAATGCAAGAATTGTTTCAATTTGTACGAATAGCTTACTCAGAAATTATGCGAAACCACAGCGCTTTACTTTGCTGGTGCATTCCTCAAGAATTGATGAATTTAACACTTGACTTTGTCTTTGGGTGAGACTTGACTATATTTTTGTCTTCGGGTGAGAGGTGTGATTGCTTCCTAATTGACTTAATTACCACGAGTGGTCTTAGGTCATAAAATTGAACTATCTGGTAAAAATTCTATGTAATTTTATGCCAGTATTGAAAAAAACAATCTGATAAGAAATGGCTGCGACTTGTTTTGAAAATGAGGCGTAAAATGTTACCAGCAAGGATATTCCGTTTGGCATCAGTTGTACCATTATTGGTGCCTTTATCGCCTGCACCGGCAAAACGGAAAAGTACCAAAATTTGTATGTTTTTCAAAATATAAAATAAAAATACCACTGCAAACTTTAAACATATTTTTATCATATACGGTCGTATTCTGATGTTGCAGAAAGCATGCGATTTCATGTGACATCATTGTTTTTCAAAAACTTTTCATTAATGTCAGCATTTTAAATAAATAACTGCTGTTGACAACTTTTTGTTTCAGGTAAGTATAACTGGCATAATATATTAATTTATTTTATTGATGTTGAGAAAATATTAAATTAAATTTAAATCATGATGTATATATTAACCTGAACTGGCAAATGTTTTTGTTTCCTAATTTGGCAATAAAAAAATTATTTACAAATAGGTTGTTGCTTGGAAAGAATGAAATGCTTTCATTCATAATGAGATGTTTTCATAGATATGCATTTTAGGCGTACATAGAAGTAACAAATTTTAGTTTGGCTGCAGCCCGCTAGTACAGTCAAAAGTCGTTAATCCGGACCTGAAAGCTACAAACTTTCTGTGCATGCTTCAACGCATAATGCGTTCACGCACGTGACTAGCATTAGTCACGTGCGTGAAGGCATTATTCGGCTTATAATTCCTTACTAAATGTAGTATTCCATCTCGATGTACTCCGTCTTTGATATGATTTAAATATGCGTGTGCACATGCGCATAATATGTTTATGCATGCACGTTTAACGTATAATGGGCAATATAAGCTAAGCTAAAATTATCTAATTATCTATTTCAGTTAATGTTGCAGATTGCATTGTTCCTTAATCTTCGAATTAGATCCGGCTTATTATTTTTTGCAGACTGTTAGAGCAGTTTTTATAAAAGTAAGCTTGAACTTTCGATTATGTCAAATAGAATTTCCGATATATATTTACTAATATGTAAAGGATCTACAAAGCGAAAGTATGTTTCGATGCCCATCAAACAAAAAGTGGAATTGCTGCAAAAAATGGATAAATGCATATCCTTCGTTTGTTTTGTTATCAATATGTTTATCAATTTAACGCTGCTCTGCGGGGGGGGGGGGGGGGGGGGGGGGGGGGAGGGGGGGGGGGGGGGGGGACGTTGCGGCACGCAATGAACTGGAAGTTCATCTGTCAGCACTATCCTTATCTTCAGGGCAGATGTTTTTATTTTATTCGGCTTATAATTCCTTACTAAATGTAGTATTCCATCTCGATGTACTCCGTCTTTGATATGATTTAAATCAAATTCCTCGTCATTATAAACATCACGAATACAAATCAATTAGTTTTCTGGTTGCAATTTTCTACTTTCGACTATGCGTAATGTATGCTGTGCGCGTTGAAAGAAATGTTTAATAAAGTAAACAATAAATATTAAGCTTTTTTTGTAAATTTTGATACCCTTTAGATCATAATTGCTCTTTATTTCATAATTACGGTTTCATATTTTTAATTTTATAATTTCTGCATGCCATCTTACCAGATTTAAACTGCTGATCTATAATCCAGAAAAACCGATAATCCGGAATCGCCAAAGTCCCGACGAGTCCGGATTAAAGACTTTTGACTGTAATTAATAATAAGACAATGAGAAAAAAAATTTAGTTATAAAATTATATGTATTATATTTACTATATTATAAGATTATATAGCACATAAAGATATATCATAAAATATTAATTATATTATAAAGATATTTAACTTAAAAAATGGCTGCCAAAACATAATGAGAAACAATTGCCAGATTTGCGAGCAGATAAAGGAAAGGTACCTAAATATCATACGCTAAATGCCAACACATTGCTTTTAAATCAATAAATTTTTTAATCAAAATTGCATTAATTTAATTTCATACAAAATACGAAATAATTTCAAAACAAATCCAAAATTCAAACTTTGGGCTTTAAGATGCATATATTCAACAGAAAGTCTGTAGTGACATAAGGACTTTTTCGAAGCCTGATAGATGAAAAATGAACAACGCCTTCGCCAGGAATCAAACCGCGAACCTCTGGAATACACACCAAGCGTGCAAACCACCACAACGACAGCATGCTAAGAAGGCGGGAGAAATACCTTATATACTCCCCCTTTTAAAGGGTGACTGTTTTAGGGGACCCAATCGCCAAATCTTGGGTTTGGAGAATCGTTATCCACCACCCTTTTAGTTCAGGTGCCACTGTAGAGACATTAGTTATTTTTGGAAGCAGGCATGATGAAAAATGAGCAACGCCTTTGCCAGGTATTGAACCACTGGAATATGCACCCAACATGCAGACCACCACACTACAAAGTTATGCTAAAAAGGCGGGAGAAACACCTTATAAGTCTATACGAGTTCAAAATTTTGTGACTCAAAGTGCCGTTGTCTTTCAACAGTGCAAAGAATATACATCCAGATTCTTTATTGTTTAATAATACAACTAACTGATAGCTACATAAAATAACCTTGAAGATGCTTTTTATCAAGAATGTACTAGTTAATTAACAATGTAGAACAACAGTATAAATATATTCATTCATAATCCTATTTATGTATTTTATTACAGATTGGCAGATTTACCTAACAGAAGTTAAAAGTCAAATGATAAACAGTGTCAATCTTTGGTAAGCTCAAATTGAAGGACGCAGAAAAATATACCTATCAAATACCCGGCCTATCCAAACAATTAACTTCAAATTCTACTTTTGATGCTCTTCAACTTATTGAAGCCATGTTATATTTAATCAGAAAATTACCTAAGTAGTATATTTAAAAAAATTTAATATACATAAATTTTAAGTGTGATTTCATAATAAAATACAGTGAAACCTTTCACATCAATTACCTCTGAAAAGAGAACAGTATTTATGATAACATATCAAATTATGTTATTAAATTATTAAACTTAGTAAATTGTGTTTCCTTTAACCATTTTCCCTACATCAGATATGTCTGTAAATGATCAGAACCTTTCGGAACCACAGTTGATAAACACACAATTTAGAGTATAATAATAATGTCACATACAATTCAATCAAACCTTGTATGACAAAATTAACCCACAACTAATGCAGCTAGTTAACACAATAAACAATAAAAATAATTATCATTTAGCAGAAATAAAAAAAACTACAAGTTATAGTAAATTCTATTTATTAACCATAAAAGTTTTTTTTTTTTTTTAAATCAATTAAGTGCTTAAATTTTTATTAATGTCCAGAACACCTGGGCTATATTTTTACAAAATAATAATAAATAAATAAATAAAATATTCAAATAGCATTTAACTTTTTCATGCACTGCAATTAAATATTTTTTCTTTACTATATAGATAAAAATAATTACAACACTGCATTCAATTGTATTGCAAAAGCATTTAATAAGAAAGGCACTTACTATGTTCTTTATCAAATTAGGTGTATTAATGCCTTTGTCATCACAAAAGTTTTATCATATATTTCACCAGGGTTCAAATTGGATTAGCAGCTGTAAATATTAACAAATGTTATTATATTATTCATTTATAGATTTGTGAGAAGTATGCAGTACTATTTTTAAAGTAACAGCAAAAGTGAAAAAAAAAAGTAAATAATCATATTACACTTCAAAGATAATAAATAATATTTAACCTTTTAGGCCCTTTTACTTCACAGACCAGATGCAGCGTAAAATCAAGATGTACAGACTTATCATAAAAGTTTTGAAACAAGAAAACTATTTCGGAAAGTAAAAATGATATAAAACAAAATTTAAGACAGAAGTATATCGTTTGTTTCTAATATTATAAAAACTGGTATATAAACTCAAAAACGTTTCATGAATCCCACTTGTTAAGTACAAATAAATTATTTCGGTGCGATGTTAATAATCATCAATGGCATTTCTATAACTGCAAATTCTCAGTTTAATATCGAAATAATTGGATAAGTTATGCATATCATAAACGTGAAAGGGGGAATTCTTATCAATCGCATAATCTTTTATTCACAAATGTCTGAAAATTTGAAATGAAAAACGAAAAACTACAAGTTTGTTAATCATAATTCATATTTATGGAAAATAAACTATACATACCTGCGCAGAAAAGAAATCATGCAAATACAGTCACTTATAATCAAGCACACGTTTTCTGAAAAACTTTTAAAAATTAGCGGAATACAAGAAAATCCGTGAAATGCTCATTCACATCGATGGCAGTAACTTTCACTCAAACACACATAACAGAAGTCTTAGTCAAAATGATTAAAAATAACAAAGGATTCAACTCTTCCGTATATTGTATAGTTCTTGACCATTCAACGCATATTAATTTATCAATACCAGACAAATATAAACATTTTTAAGCTTAACAACAATTACATAAATGTTAACCAAACTAACATTTGATAGTTCTGTTACATCCGTGGAAAATTGTTACATCAAAGATGTCCGTCAGTCCTAGTTGTTAATCTGATATACTACAGCAGTTTATTCCTTTTAATGCGATTATATATATTTATTTGCACTATACTAAGACCAACATCAGTTTACTGCTTTGTTTGTAAAACTTAATGATCACAAATACAATAATTCTATAGTGATAATTAAAAGCAGATTTCTAGTGTTCATTTCACACACACGGCGGCGATGATGATACGGCTAATGCACGGATTTAGGTGTGATGCAAATTTATCTTTTACAGTTTCATATATTCACTGAGTGCAAAAATGAGAAGAAAATCTTATTTTTTAGAGGAAGAATATCGGTAAATTTTTTCTCTGTAACTTCTTACTGCAATTCAGAAAAATTAGTCGATCGATATGTTAAGTCTGTTCTGAAATGCAACCTACATTTTACAGATAATTACGTATTTAATAAATGTGATAGTTTACCAGTAATTGCATTTATTAACATTATTAAGAATAATGTATTGCATGCAAAGAAAGTTTATGTTAGGAAATTTTTACTATTTAAAATATTCTAAAAAACAAAATATTTATTTTTTACAACTTAATAGCAGAAATATATATTTAATTATATAAATTTTAATTGCATAGTTTATTGTCTTAAAAAAGTCTGTTTGATCATCCTTAAAAGATAATTTATTCATTAAAATAGATATTTGTCTTTGGTTACCTTAATTAATTTAAGATAACAAAATATCTTCAGTTTTTTTTAAAGATTAATATTTTGCAAATATTGTGTAGCAATTAATAGAATAACATGGGAAAAATGGAGAATTAATCAGATAATAATAATAATACATTTATTAACATAATTTTATTTTAAAGCTCATTCTTCATATACAATTTCGTAATTATATATTATTTAATGCTTGAATTATTTCCTAAATACTTGTGTAAACTCTCGAATTACAACTGGAAAATAAAATTAAAGTGTAATTATAATAATGAAATAATCATGAGACAATCAAAATTTATCTAAAAATTAATAATTATTAAATTAATTAATTAAATTAATTAAAATGCTTTTTATAATTATTCTGCATGTCGTCAAAGTACTCTCTGAAATTTATGAAAGAACACTATTAATTACTAACAATGTAACATAAAAATATACAAAGACTTCAATACAATGAGATCTGAGTCACTTCAGCATCAGCTGGAAAGTTCGTCTGCTTCACGAAGCACAATTTGCGCGGCGCGCGCTTGAAAGATGCAATGTGGTATATGAAAAGGTAGTGACATCTGGTGGTGACTAGTTGAAAGAAATTTAAAACCTGATTTTAAAAATTAACGGATATTTTTTTTTAAATGAGCTATTATTTTTCAAAGAAAAGAACCTGTATAATAATAAATGCAATGATTTACTAAAATATTTTCATTTAAATATTTTTACTGAAGAGAGCTGGAATGGTTTTCTAAAGTGACCTGACTCTTACTAGTGTACCTTGAGCAAACCATTCCAGTTCTCTTCCATTCAAAAGCCTATGCTATTAGCACGAAAAATATAAATGTTTTGAAATGAAAAAATTTTTAGTAGAAATAAAAAAAATTTCAAAAAACTTTGTAACATGCTTCAAATTCCCTTGCCTTACAATGACGTCATATATGGCGTAGCTAACACTTACAGAATGTTTAACAAATTTGTTCATATGATTTAATAAATATTAAATAGTACATTTTTTCTAGTACTGAAAGATAAAAATAAGCAACTGAGACAGTTCTACTCTTTTTTATATCTTAAAATGGTATCACTTTGTCAACGGAGGAGATTCTATTAAAGAGTAGATTTATGAAATTAAAGAATACTTTGTCTGGATGAATCTTTTTACGTTGTAATGAAAAATACCGCAGCAATATGTTGTAAAGGTTAGTTGTTTTATAAATGTCGATATCTTCAGCAGCACTAATCATTGACATTTTAATGCTACAAAGTGGTCCGGCGATCATTTCTACTTCTTCTCCAGGCAACTGCTTTTCTCTTGCGCTGTTTCACGTAATATCTATAAAATATTCCTGTATTTTTTTTAATTTATTTGTTTAAGACTATCTGTCTAACTCCATTCTAAAAGAAACCTTCGAGAAGACTGAGTAAGTAATTCCATGCTCGAGAATGACTGGACAATCCTGTGGTTGTTAACTATTGTTATGATACTAGGGACCCCAATTTCAGTAAACGCCCAAGGGCGATCCTAAATGTTAGTAATATGTAATTTTGTATATGTGTTATGCAAATTGTTGCTCAGATTCTTTATTGTATATTGTTCTTTTTTCCTCCTGATTGCATTTTTGTTTTTACTAGTGGCACTAAGGCGTCGCTCTTCGTATTTTGTTTCTCTTGTGTGTACTCTGTGAAATACTTGTTTAAAAAAATAGTTATTTATGTATGGATTAGTAATTAGGTACTTAAGGAAAAAAAATATGTATTTAACTATTAGCAATTATGTATTTAAACTCTTACTCATTTAATTATTTAGCACATTCAGTTATATTTCTCATAATTGGAAACTTTTATCATGTTATTCGATGAGGGGTAGGGCTATGGCGCCCAGGCATCCTGGTGGTTAAGCACCGCAGTTCAATGTATGTATGCTCGAGAATGACTGAAAAGAAGAAGAATATTGGCAATACCTCGGCGGTAGGTTTATACTGCGTTGGGGATGATTTTTGTTTGTCAATACTGTTTTGTTTGTATTATTCCTTACTGTGGAGTATAGTATCTCATTGAATTGAAAATAAAAACTCTAAAGTGATATTTTCGTTCGTCTTTATGTAAGTATTGTGGGTTTTGCGTTCTAAGCTTATCTGAGAACTCGCTTTCTTTTTTATTTGTGCTTTGATAATTTTGTACTGGAAGTTTTATTTGTTTGTGAATTCTTATAAATTTTCATAAAATTTAGCATTGATTTATTAAAAAAAACCTCTATGCATCTCTAAGGTGATTTAAAAAAAAAAATATTATTATTTGTTTGTTTTTCATGGAGCGCTGTCTTTAAAAGACTATGTTTTTGTCCGTTGGTGGGATTCAGACGGTTTGCTCCAGTTCACAGAATCGGTTCTCAGAGTATTTTTAATTTATCAGACCGCTGTTTAAGATTGAATTTTCAGAATTTTGATTCACTCAGCTTTCGCCCTGCAGTTTTTTGAATCAAAGCAACAGATGTGTTGTCTAATTTTAAATTTCAAATTGACATGTTTCTCTTCCATATATTGTGTTTACGCATTTTTATATTTTTGCAGTAGTGTAATTGTATAATAAGCTGAATGCAAATTTATTTGGGTATACAGTGGTGCAGGGAATGGGATAAATAGCCAAGTATGGCTCTTTTAATCATTAACCCAAATTTTCTTGTTTAAAGTTTTAAATTAGTAAAGGTTTTATTCATAGAATTAATTTCTTGTCATTTTCGTTTCTTTGTCGATAAAATTTCTGAAATAAGGACTTTCGATATTGCTAAGATTGATGCAGAGAAACCCCCAAAATAGACTGCGTGGTTTCAGACAATTTTGATCATCTCTGTAGATGGTAGCCCTTAGAGAACATGGGAGTAAGTAATATTCCATAGTATAATTTAATTATGTTCTCATATCTAATAGTTACTTTTATGGAGAGTTGTGCAAGGTTACATTGCATTTTAAAATGTAGTGTATATGCTTCTGCATTTTAAAATGTAGTTTATGTGCTTTGTGTTCATTTTCTTTTGTGCTTCTGTAATGCTCAGGAACTTGAACCTATGATTCTACATTTCATCCTAAGGGCTGTTTCCACTGGGGTTTATCTGAGCTAACGAAAACAAGTGACATCTCCAAAACCAGTTTTTTTCCCATAGGGCAGCAAGTTAAAAAATCTGAACTGCAGGCATAGCAGAGCTAGTCAACACATGGAACTGTCTCTGTTAGCTCAGATAAAACCCAGTGAGAACAGCTCTTTAGGGTTAAAGTAAAAAACTTTATCAATTTAAATGTTTTTAATTCAACAATGCCTAGTTTGTGCAATTCTCTGGGGTTTTTTTAAGTGAAAATAGGTTGATGTGTACATGGATAGAGTCAAGAGAGTATGCATTGCCAAGTTTGTGCAATTCTTTGATGTTTTTTTTTAAATGAAAATAGGTCGATGTGTACATGGATACAGAGTTTGTGCAATTCTTTGTCGTATTATTTTGGCTTTGTGTAGCGGTGATTTTTGGCACAAAAATATTATGTACTAAAATTTGTACATTTCATGTTTATTCATATTGTTTGGAGGTCTTAGCTTATTCTGGTGAGTATGAAGAACTCGGAAGTTTCACTGATGAATGCCTATAGGATAGTTCTGTTACCCCACTGTATAAAGAATGCCCCAAAAGTCCAAGAAATTAAGCTAAAAGAACATGACAGCTCTTGAAATAATCAATGTAGACCACACAGGAAAGCAGATCACTATCTATAATTGTTGGAAAACAGGCACAAGTGGTAATTCCTAATCCGTAATCCGGACAAACCCAGTGGGAACAGCCCTTTAGGGTTAAAGGACTGTTCCCACTGGCTCTGTAATCCGGAATTTGTACGAAGTCCATAATCCGGACATCCATTATCTGGAATGACCTATAATCCAGACCTCAAAGCTACAAACTTACGCATGCGTGTAAAGCCGGTAAATGTTTACACATGCGCTCTTCCGATAGTGAAGAAAATGACAGAGAAGTTATTGAAAACGAAAGAATTTGATTGACAAGTTAGTCGGTGTTCTCGACACAGGAACTACAGGACTTGAACAGTGGAACTTTGTAACTGAAACAAGAAATTATGTGTGTTTATAGAATTAAAGAGAAAGTATTAGCACAAAAAACGAAGCAACTTAAAACAAATAAATATTAAGCTTTTTTTCTGTAAATTTTGATACCCTTTAGTTCAATTGCTCTTTATTTCATAAAGTATGGTTTCATGTTTTTAATTGTATAATTTCTGCATGCCATCTTACCAGATTTAAATTGATGATCTATAATCCGGAATCGCCGAAGTCCCAACGAGTTCAGATTATGGACTTTACTATATACTGTCTTGATAGGAAAACAAATTTCATAGCCTTTGATAGAGGCATTTTACACGAAATGTTCTAGAACACCCAGTTGCAGGTTTCTACCAGAACACTCTTGTAAGCACCACCTTTCTCACTTGTACTTTCTAGTAATTCCTAGTTCTGCCTAGAAGCCTTTTATTTGAGTTAGCCTGTATAGCGATGCAGTCTAGTAGCAAAGGTGACGTAATCTGATTAATCATCAGTGTATTTGCTGGTATAATTTTTTATTGAATTATAAATAAACTTTATTTCTAATTAAATAAATAGTTTTGAAAATAAAAATGGCTGTA